TATTCCTAATACCTTTTACTTTATAAAAATGTTTAAATTAGCAAAAATAAATTTCTATTGTGAACTCACCCTGCCATCGCTTTTCCAATACAAAAAGAATCCGTATTCGTCCACTTTGAACATTGCGTCTTTCTCAAAGTCATTCTCCTTTGTTTCCTTCTCATTCTCAAACCAGCGATCGAACACGCAGCCGGTGGTCAATTCCTCCGGCACCGGAATGATCCAATCGAACTCGTACTTTTTCGTCATTTTGAATGGCCGACGACTTTCAGCTCAACTAACAGTATATTTTTCAAAAATTTATTTACAACTAAAATTTGCCGTTATATGTTTATTTTTCAAAAGCCAAAAGTCTTGCTGGCTTAAACTTTGCAACAGGAATCAAGTTCCTGCTTGATTTTTGCGACTAGATTATCATTTTCGTCTTTGTGACTCTTCTTTTGAGTTATTTTGACAATTTGCAGGCAAATAATCACATTTTCGGTGCATCTGGTTATTTATTTGAGATTGCGGAATTCGATTTGCTGAGAGTGATGTGATTTTTGTTGTAGTTATCTTCAAGTTTTTAATGGTAGTTTATATATATATATATGGAATGATTGAGATCTTTAGTTGAAATCTGCAAACAGAGAGAGAGAGGAGTAATAATAATTAGTCAATTACTTGACGATCGAAACGATGAAAGAATGAATATTGAACATTGTAAAAAAGTGAAAAAAGTCATTGAATTATTTAATCCACAAGCATGAAAAAATTGTTGACACTACTTTCTGATACTCAAATCGACTTATAATATAGCTATGAGTAAATGTTTAAGAATATTGGGTTCCAATACTTGTAGCAAAAGTTTTACAAACCCGAAGAGAATTGCAAGAGATATTATCAACGCGAAAGAAATGTTTTGCGATTTCCTCATTTCATATCTTTAAGAATTTATTAAATAAAAAGTCCCTATCCATTTAAGCTCTTATTATCTGTTGAGTAGTCTGGTCCCTACACAAGCTTACACACACAACGTGGAATTCCATGCAGTAGCTTTAATAAACCAATTAATTCGATTATGCTGTCGATGGCGACTGTCAGTCAGTTATCAAATTTTTTGTTACGTTTTCTATGTTGTTTCGCAGCGCTGTGTCTTTGCTTTGTTTACTTCATCTGCCGATTCGCTGCTGTTACCAACTTTGTTTTTTGTTTTCAGCCTACTTTTAGGTGTCTTGGCTTTTGATTGGCTTTATCTCCCGTAGATTGATAGCTTAGGCACTTCTACTTGAGTGCTGATGAAAGAAGTGTGGCTGTAGGCGCCTAAAAGTATGCACTACAATGCCAGTGCTCATCTATATGAATTATCTCTTTTCCGATCGCGTGTATGGGTCATTAACTTTTAAGCGCATAGTCGCATTGATAAAAGAAAATAAATTATTTGTTGCAGCACATACTGTTTCGATTATTCTGGTTGATTTATCATTTTTGGTGTTGTGGTGGGAGGGACTTTTGCTTAAAAAAATAATGATAAATTGGCATTTAATAACTGCGAGTGAGTATTAAATACGATTTATTTAGTAGTGATGCCTTAAATATTTGAAATCCTTGAAAAGGTATGCTACGCATTTTTAGGAAACAATATATTGACAATTTCCATACGAAACTAATATTTTGTGCTCAGCATACTTCAATTTTACTTATATTAAAAAAAATTTTTCCATTTGATGACAGCATGAGCTTGAAAGTATGCTATTTTAACGAGTTAAATTTGTAGTTCCTTCATTTTTTTTCAATATTTTTTTCTTTCGTAAATTTACTTTTCAGAGTTAAAGTAAACTTGTATACAAGCCTCTAAAAGTCGCTAGAGCAGCTACTTGAATTCTAAAGGTATGCTAAAAAATAATGAATCGATAATGTTAAAATTTCACAACTGAAAGTAATATGTTGGGTCAAGTTGTTATAATTTTCTTTAGAATTACAAAATTTTTGTATTTTACTGGAGTTTGCGCTAAAAAGTATGCTTTCTCATAGAGATAAACTTGTTGTTTCCCCGATTTTCAAAACTTTTAATTTCTTTTGTATACCAAAAAATATTGAAATCATTTAAAAACACTTGTTATTCAAAGTTAAGCATATATAGATGCAGCTAAAAGTATGCAACAGTTGAGTTGTTTAAATCCTAAATATAAAACCTATAATTCTAAACATTTCAGATGAAATTAATATTTGTGTTCGGCATACATACTTAAATTCTTTTTAAATTACCGGTTTTCCTTTTCTTAATTTTGTTTGACAGCATTCGCTTCACAATTTTTTTTTGTATACCAAATAACATTAAAATCGAAAAGCACACTTGCGTTTTGGTTTTTGTCGACTGTGCGCTTTAAAGTATGCTATGTTATAGAGTTAAACTTGTTCTTCCTCCAATTTTCTAAAAATCTTATTTCATTTGTAAACTAAATAATACTAAAATCACAAAAGCACTTTTGTACACCGATGTCAGGTTTGCGTAATAGCATCCATAGTATCTAACTCCACTTTTTGAATCCCAAATGTATGCAAAATCAACAAAGAATCTGGTGCCAGCACTTAAGTACCCATGCAAGCAACTGCTGCAAAGTAAAGCAGAATGAAAATTGAAAATATTTCGTTGAAAAATTCTTCTGAACATGCCACTCGACTACGCCTGAAAGCTAAATAAATTTTTTCTCTACTCGAAGCTAATGTAATTCCCCATGCATAATTTTTGCGATTGTATGAATATTGGCATTATATATACATACATACAGACATTCATTCAATAACATTCATTTCACCAATTTCGAGTGGTATGTATGGGTCAGTGAAAGCAGCTCGGCGCAATTGAAGCGCTCGAGTGTAAACGACAAACACATTTTGGCCACTTGTGTCACTTGTCATCAATAATGTTCGTTGTTTTTATGACAACTGCTATTTTTTTGTTGCTTTTGTTACATATTAACTGTGTATGTTCTGCGAAAATTGTATATGTATAAGATAGTATATATGTACATACAGTTATAGAAACACAAATGTTATTCTGTTATTCTATTTTTCTTGTTTTTTTTTTTATTTCTTTCTTTGCTCGCCTTTCCTGCGTAGTTTTCTTAATCTCGTTTATTTTCCGGCTGTCCACTTCTATTTTTCTGCAATTTAGCTATTTTATTTATGTTTGCTTCACTGGTGCAAGAGCAAGTTGTGTGTCTCATGTAGTCTACGTTTAGTTGCTTGCGATATAAGTACGGGCACAAAAGAGTGAAATAAGACGTGGTGTCAATTCAAGTGTCTAGTTACAAAATAGAAAGTATAGAAAATGTGATTTTTTTTTACATTAATATTGCATACTTTCAAACGTAAGACGAACTGTAAGGGATTGCAGTTATATCTGATTATATA